CGAATTAGCTTAGTGGACCTCCCTGCTCATCTCCTCTTGTTGTTTTGGATACTCTAAAGATGGTGGTATCTTTGATAAGCGCTAGCCTGAATCTTCACAGAGGTGATAAAAACAAAGGCATGTGTGTGAAAGATATGAAGATTAAAATTTTTTTTTTTTTTAAGACAGAGTCTCGCTTTGTTGTCCAGGCTAGAGTGAGTGCCGTGGCGTCAGCCTAGCTCACAGCAACCTCAGACTCCTGGGCTCGAGCGATCCTTCTGCCTCCGCGAGTAGCTGGGACTACAGGCATGCGCCGCCATGCCCGGCTAATTTTTTATATATATATATATATCAGTTGGCCAATTAATTTCTTTCTATTTATAGTAGAGACGGGGTCTCGCTCTTGCTCAGGCTGGTTTTGAACTCCTGCTTGGAGCACATCGACCCGCTCGGCTCCCAGGAGAGCTAGGATGACAGGCGTGAGCCACCGCGCCCGGCCCGAAGATTAAAATTTTTTATGTGCATCCATGCTCTTATCTGTATCACTTACTACCTACTTCCTACTGTGTCCTTAAAGACAGAAGCAGAAGTCTGAAAGATGGTACATAGTGAAAGAATATCATACATTTTTGTATTCTCAGCAACTATCCCAGTCTCTGGTATGAGTAGATGCTCAAGGGATATAGAAAAAAATATATATGTGTCTGACAAGGTCTCTGAATAAAAAGTTAAAGAATATCTGTTTTTTCCTATATGCCAACAGCACACAATCTGGAAAAGAAAATAGTCTCATTTACAATAGCTACAAATACAATAAAAGACCTAGGAATAAAACCTAACCAAAGAAGTGAAAGTTCTCTACAATGAAAACTACACTACACTGATGAGAAATTGAAGAGGACACAAAAATGGAAAGATATTCCATGCTTATGGATTGGAAGAATCAATATTGTTAAAATGTCCCTACTATCCAAAGAAATACATAGATACAATGCAATCCATATCAAAATACCAATGATATTCTTTACAGAGATAGGAAAAAAAAAACCTCTAAAATTTACATGAAACCACAAAAGACCCAGAATAGCCAAAGCCATCCTGAGCAAAAAGAACAAAGCTGTAGGAATCACATTACCTGACTTCAAATTATACTACAGAGCTATAGTAACCAAAACAGCATGGGACTGGCATAGAAACAGACACATAGACCAATGGAACAGAACAGAGAATCCAGAAATAAATCCACACATCTACAGCAAACTTATCCTCAACAAAGGTGCCAAGAACATACAGTGGGGGAAGGACAGTCTCTTCAATAAATGATGCTGGGAAAACTGGATATTCAAATGCAGAGGAATGAAACTAGACCCTTATCTCTCACCGCATACAAAAATCAAATAAAAATGGATTAAAGACTTAAATCTAAGACCTAAAACTATAAAAAAATACTAAAAGAATGGGCTGGGCGAGGTGGCTCACGCCTGTAATCCTAGCTCTCTGGGAGGCCAAGGCAGGTGGATTGCTCAAGGTCAGGAGTTCGAAACCAGCCTGAGCAAGAGCGAGACCCTGTCTCTATTATAAATAGAAAGAAATTATGGCCAACCGCAATATATAGAGAAAAAATGAGCCGGGCATGGTGGCGCATGCCTATAGTCCCAGCTACTTGGGAGGCTGAGGCAGGAGGATGGCTTGAGCCCAGGAGTTGGAGGTTGCTGTGAGCTAGGCTGATGCCACAGCACTCACTCTAGCCTGGGCAACAAAGTAAGACTCTGTCTCAAAAAAAAAATACTAAAAGAAAACATTGGGGAGATACTTCAGGACATCGGTCTGGGCAAGGTCTTCTTGAGTAATATCCCCATAGCACAGAAACCAACGCCAAATTGAAAAAATGGGATTCACATCAAGCTAAAAAGCTTCTGCACAGCAGAGGAAATAACCAGCAAAGTGAAGCAAAGAGACAACCCACAGAATGGGAGAAAATATTTGCCAACCATCCATCTGACAAGGGATTAATGACTAGAAAATATAAGAAGCTCCAACAACTCAATAGGAAAAAATCAAATAATCCAATAAAGCAAAGGATCTGAATAGAACATTGTCTGCAAAAGAAGAAAGCAAACACAATGGCAACAAGTATGTGAAAAAAATGTTCGGCATCATTAGTCATCAGAAAAAATGCAAATCAAAACTTCCGTGATATATTATCTCACCCAGTCTAAAATGGCTTTGTCAAAAAGATAGGACGCATGACAGATGCCAGTGAGGATGTGGAGAAAGGGGAACCCTTGTGGGTTGTTGGTGGAAATGTAAAATTAGTGCAACCAAACTAGTGGGAACAGGCACTGGAAGTTCCTCGACCGAGAAGTAAATCTAAAAATAGAAAGTACTACCATAGGACCGCCAGCCATCCTATTCCGTGAGCACGGTTTTATACCATCTAAAAGGAAAGGCGAATATATATGCTGTCACAGTATAAGAAGAAGGGTATCCTGCGATTCCCACTGTTTATTGCAGCAGCTATTCACCACACAGCCAAGACCCAGAATCGACCTAAGTTGTGCCCGTTAGATGGATGAGGGTCTGGACGCAGCTAGAGTGAGGATTTAACGAAAAATTGTCAACATCATTATCTCGTAACTCGGGCGCAGATGGAACATTATCGTCACCACGCGAAAAAGGATTAAACGGATTCGTTGCCTATATATGAATATTTCACCTTGCCGACAACAGGCGCGGATAGACAGACAGCTGTTGCGCGCCCACTGATGGAGGTACAAGTGCACTCCAAGCACCGTGATTC